GTAGATACAGTCCCTCCTGGCGAGTGTGAGGGAGATCTCCAGCATGATGGAACAGAAGAACGCCATCCACGCCGTGGCATCCGCCTGAACCAGGTAGCCACCTACAACCAATATAAATGTTCTTATGCATACAAAACTAATAGTATGCAAAAAGAAAGTGAAAGCAAAATACTTTGTGAGTAATTTATCAATTTTTATCAAGTTTGCTTTATTTAAAAAAAATATCTTGGTCCTGAGTTATTTCTGTCATTTCATGATTGCAAACAATCTTGCCCTGTTTTAAATTTGCCCAGTCATATATTTGTTCCAGAAATTAAATATACTGTATTCTTTGAATTTCCCCCATTTTAAATTCGCCCAGATGAATGTAGGCTGAGAAGGGCAAAAGCTAAACATAGGTAAAAATTTCCCTAGATAGAGTATATCGGATCAACATACTGAGGTCAAACAACTGTACAAGTCTAAACTGTGAACTGTTGGAGGGATAACAATACCTGTTGGCAATGGTTTAGAACGGTCAAAAATTCCAATGTTATCTAGCCCAAGAAATCCTCCAGTAAAAATGTTCCGTCCCTCCAAATCCTTTCTGTTAATCCACCTTAAATTAAAAAATTAGTAGGAATAATGTGCTTAAACACACTGACAATTAATATTATATATGTTTTACTGAAGAGAAACTTTACCATGTAAAATTCATGATGAGTTTGTGAAAGCATCTTGCCAGAAAGCCAAGGTCTCGCTTGTTCTTTGGACCTGAGGCTTTGTATACTCTTAAAACTGCATAGGCATGAACTGGTGGATTTACATCTTGAAAACTAAATTCATATGCTGGTATCTGAAAATTAATATTGAAAGGTGTTTTAGGTCTTCACACCCTTAATTCATTATACATATATCTAAATATTTATTTTTTTCTTGTAGAATTTATAAACCAGAAGAATCTTGTAATAAGAATTTTATTTCACCTGCCCATTTGGATGCATGTACCATTCCCTGAGAAAAAGTTGTAGCTGATCCTTAGCAAACTGTACATCAATGTCTGCCATTGGAATCATATGGAAGGCCAAGTCCCAGGAAGCATACTGAAGTAAAGCAACAAACACTTTAATTTTTCTGTATTACAGCTTCCCAACAAGCATACTTTTTAAAATTTCTCTTGTTTAAACTACAGACAGTTCTGGATATTCTCATTCTATTGACAAGTTTTAACTTTGTTACAAAACCTGTAGAAATCTGAAGAGTTGAAAGGACTTTTTAATTATTTATTATACATGTATTATCATAGTAACATGCTGCACTGATTTACCCAGGGATATTCCCATTTGTCTGGGACTGAGATGACATCCATATTAAAGAGGTGCATCCATTCAAAGTTACGTCCCCTGAGCCTGGAGGCAGGGGGTTTGGGTTGGTTCTTATCTCCCTTTAGCCATTCCTCAATGACGTAGTAATAGAACTGTTTACTCCATAGCAGCCCAGCATAGGCCTGACGGGATACCTGTCTTTGTTGTTTGTCCTTCATTGGAATTTTCTGGCATCCAATAAAAATTCAGTTTCAAAAGTGGACTACATTTTTCAATACATTTCACTCTTTCATTAATCTTTATTTTCTTGTGGTGCAATAAGAACCTGTGAATATTTGTATTTCTGATAAATTATTTGAATTCAGTTCTTTTCCAAATTCTTTTATCTGAAAAATATAAAATTATAAATGTACATGTGTTACAAACCTCTTCATAAAAGATGTCTGCCTCCCTCTGTCTATCCTGGAAGGTGTCATCAAAATCTGGTCCAAAGATTCCATGCTTGGGAGCCTCCAGTTCATAGTACAGCCTCACTCTGATGGTGAAATCTTCCCTAGGGTCAAGGGTCAGGACATAGTGAGCAGCACATTTTGTTCCACAATGTGATGGGTTTACAGCTGATTTCTGTCCTTTCAAATAATTTTAAAATTAAACTTCATGACTTTTGGAGAGATGTACTATTTTTTTCAGAAAGCCACATAAAACAGCTTTTCTTAAAATACTGTAAGTCGTTTAAATTTAATTAAAATTTTTTATAAGCATTGAAATGTTTTTTAAAACTAACGATAGCATTCACGATGGGTTTAATTTCATATAAAAATGATGAATTGCCAACATAGTGAAATTAAAACCATTGTGATTATTTGCCAATCTACAGTTTCATAAACTGATAAAATCCCTTTTCATTAGTCATTAAGCTTTGCCCTAAGAAGACGATACCTTTGATGACATAGTCATGGAATGCATCCTTAGCATATCCTTTGCTTTCCATATTAAACAAACGTTTGAAATTTGTGTCATTTTCTGTAAACAAGAGTTCAGGTTCTTTGTTGTTTTGATCCACATCTACCTCCCAGAAAAATGGCCCTGATAAAAAAAACAACAAAAAAAGTAAAACCATCATGTAATTCTGTGATATATTAGTCAAAATGCCTTTGAAACACAGTTTCTTCTTTTTTAAATAGAATATGTACTTTATGCCTGTATCAAAAGACTTCAATATGTTACTCACCACAGTAAGCAGCTGGGGGTGAGGCTTGGTCCACTGTAGGGTCTATGTGATGACCTTGATCCTCCCCTGAAAAAGGATGAGATCAGTAAAAGAGGTACAGGATGATCTTAGAAGTGATTTACGAATCAATGTACTACAAAAAGTCATTCAGGGACAAACCTAGCGTAGGATGGTCACATTTCACCTTGGTGTTGGACACTTGACTGAGATGGGGCTTTGGAGTCACACAACACTGAAGTACAAAGAAAAAAATGAAACTTTTCTGCTTTAAAATCAATGTTATCAGAAAATTTAACAGAGGCCCAAGATTCTACAAGGAAATATTAATACAGATGTAATTATGCAAAAATTTCAAAGAATGTGTAATTTCCTAAGTATCAACTGACAAGGTTCTAGATATCCAAATGTTTTCAACTGTATCATACCCTAATCCATTGGGCATAGTAAACAACTTTGTTTTAATTTCACCATTTTTACATTTGAAATTTACTTTACTTTCATTAGTTTTTGCAAAGATTTTTTCAATGCAGTTCTATCAATTAACTTTTCTGAGAGAAACAGTCTAGTTCATGAACTTATATACATGTGTACATGTATGTATTTCTGTTAGGAAGTAAAATTCTATGTCAACATTTACTTACATAGGCGTCTTTGCCCCATGACCAGACATTTCTGAACCACAGCATGGGGAGCACGTGAACCGTGGCTCGTTCCGTGCCTCTGTTGGAGATGGTATACTTCCCTAGGACATCATTAGGACTGTGTTTACAATACTCAGCCATTACATCAAAATAACCCTGATCAAATACACCTGAAAAGTAAAACAAGTTTGCAAAATGTATTATGCTATTCATATTCACCACCATAATATAATGTTTACTTTGGTATGATGGATGTATGAAACAAGCTGCTCCAATTCATATTAAATTTTGATAATGCTCATCACTGGAAATCCACTGTTAAGTCTTGCTTCTCTTACCATGAGAAGCAAGACAGTCCAGGGGTGGTTGGCTGGGGGTAGGGGTTGGTAATACTGCTTTTTTTCTTGAGTGCACTATTCAAACACTAAATGATCATTAAATTCACTTATTGCATTGTGGTATGTTATAATAAGGCCTAGAAAAAAAATGTTTGTTTCCGCTTTCAGGCTGAAAAAATATAGGGTAGGTAGGTAGGCAATTTTTTTTTTTTGATAAAAATTTTTTTGCTTCTTTAATCAAAACGTGTATAGAAGTAACATTAATGACAAAAGAAATGGTGTTTTCAAGCATTACTGTGACTTAACTTATAATAGAAAGGTGACCCAAACTTCTTTCTGTCTTGAAAAGCTTGCAAAGTTGGAGGCTACAATTCCCTGGTTGAAATCTTGCACATCATGGGACAAAAGCATTAAAAAAATATTTAGGGTCGGCACTATAAATTAGGGTCGGTCGGGAAAGTGGAAACAAACATATTTTTTTTCTAGGCCTAAGCAAGGTTTTTCTTGAGTGCACTATTTAAATACTAAATGATCATTAAATTCATTTATTGCATTGTGGTATGTTACAATAAGCAAGGTTTTTGCCCAAAATTTAGCAAATTTTGCTGAAATTTTTTATCCAGGGTTAATATGTGAAAGAGTAAGGTGTCTGAAAACAGACAAAAATAAATTTATTTTAACCTTTGACCTGGGATAAAATTAACCAACTCACCTGTGTCCAGAATTTCATATTCTGGCATCAGGAAGCCCCGTACTTTGTTTTCGTGTTCCAGTTTGCTGTAGGGGTATTCCTCCTGGGGATATTTATAGAGGGCCTTCATGTAGGAGTGGGTGGGAGTACTGTCCAAGTAATAGTACAATTCCTTGACATCCTCCCCATGGTTCCCCTGGTAACAAACCATACAAAAGTGCTTATAGATCGGTACATAAGATATCCGTACTATATGATTCGATCTAGCCATATTGTTAGATAAGGAATGTTTGATAATCTCTCTCCTTCAATATACCTGGTGTCCAGTGAGTCCAAAAAACCTCTCCTTTAGGAAGGGGTCCTTGGTGTTCCAGAGCGCCAGGCCCATACAAAGTCGCCCCTGCCTGTCACAGATTCCCAGAAGGCCGTCCTCTCCCCACCGATAGGCCCGGGACCGCGCATGGTCATGTGGGAAGTAATTCCAGCTGAAGAAATAAATTATATTCAGTCCACGAATTAAAGATATATTTTATTAATTATCCATGAATTAATTTGAACATCAGACATAGTCATTCTCTCTCTTCAAGTAATGTTTTCTTGTAACTTCTTTTGAGTTAAAGCCATATGTGGCGTATGTACAATGAAAATCATTAGACTAAAATTATAAGAACTTATTATTTGTATCATTACTTTATATAAAGATAGAATTTTTCCGTAAATTACAAAATCTAAGTCAATTGCGCTATAAAGATATCACAATTTAATTTGGGTTCTCGGAATTTTCTCCGACTCGGAAGAAAATACAAAAGATTTAAATAACACAATACAGAGAAGCTAAAATCGTATTATTAGATGAAACAAGGTGTTCTCCGTGTTCAGAATTGTATGAAAAGTTTTAATTTAAATGTATTAACTATATTTCTTTACTTAATTTTGTATTTTTCAAAAATATATTTTTTTGATCAGTTACGCCATATATGGCTTTAAGGTGTATCTTTAAGCAAAATGTTTATGTACAGAGTTATTCCCCTTACAATGTGTTACTGCACCTAGAACTCCTGAGCACAAAGCTATTAATAGAGAATATGTGTATTTGTCCTGAACAGCTGGTGAGGGGATGAATGCAAAAATATAATAGATTGCTGCCAAAGATAAGAGCATGCATTGTCCTTCTAAATCAATAACATCAACAACAGCTCAAAAAGATTAGTAGCACTGAAACCAGATCTGCAAAAAAATGTTCTGGAGAAATGTATACTTCTGTGTCTTAAAAGAAATATCTATCAATCTAAAATTCAATTTGAAGTTGCTTTTTTTTAAATTTTTTATCAGATTCTTAGTTTTCATATATCAAAGATATCTATGAAAAAAATATCTTTCAGATGTTTTAGTCATGCAAGGATCATGTATAACACTATTCAAACTGTGACATGTGAAAAATATTGCATATTATTTGACTAAAAAATAGTTATCCTTATAATAGAACATTTGTCATGCAAACCCTTTTTTTCATATTGAAGCAATTGCTACAAAATGTCGTACTTTATGTATATCATATATAATTTAAGATTATTATTTTCAAAAGATTTGCTATTTTCTCAATTCAACTATCCTTGTTTTTAAAATGTGATTCACTACTTTATTTTCCTGGACAGGTTTTATAAAATGTTCAGATCACTGAAGTACACGATACAGAGTGTATTTATCTATAGTGAGATCAATGTAGAACAAGGAAGGACGTCCCATCAAAGTGGGAGCTTAAGACAATCATCTACTTCCTATGACTTATCAATGCATAGCATTTCCTGGAGTCTGCATGTACTCTCTCTCCCTCTCTCTCTTCTCTCTCTCTCTCAGAACAATATATCTGTTATTAATGCCATTTATCCACCTTAAATCTCATGACAAGTGATGCCACGTGTTGAAGACCTGTACCAAATAGATACTCAAATCCTACTGAACATTCACTCCACACCTCAGATGAAGAGAATAGCTTTGATGCTGTAATATTGTTGACATTTAGAACTGATGTTTCATTGACTAGTAAAGTACATGTACTGATAAATCAGAGATGTGCCATCATTAGTTATGTAATTCCATACATTATACCAACATAAAATCTGAATCTTGGAACAATACTATGTAAACAAGATGGTCCTTCCTTAAAATGTGTCAAAAACTTGATATACATGATGTGGAAAAATAAGACTCGGTTTTACAATGCAAGCACTTACTATCCTTGTTATTTTGTTATTTACTTGATTATAGCCTTAATGATTCAGACATAGTATTATTCGAAATTACTTTCTATGCCCCAGTCACTATGACATGCTCTGCTCCAGTCATTTTTTTTCAAGCAACGTAGATGTGAACATGGATAATTAACAAGAGGCCCAAGGGCCTTGAATCGCTCTTCTGATAAATTGTACAATCTATCACTTCTATCTGAAGCCTCTAACCTTAAGTATCCTAAGGCCAAGTTGCATCAACTGACAAAGTTTGATGATTCTTAACCAATAATGACTGAAAATATTTTTAATAATAAAGCTATAAAAAACCATAAGTACATCACAGTGACCTATATCAAGATTGAAGTTTTCTGACGACTCAAGATGCATTAATAAACAAAGATTGAAGATTCTAAGCCAATAAGTATTTGAGATATTTAAAAGTAGGTCACCGTGACCTACTTTTTTGTCTACATTCTTTGAAAACCCAAGATACATCAACTGACAAAGTTTGATGATTTTAAGCCAAAAAGTATCTGAGATATTCAAAAGTAGGTCACCATGACCTACTTTTTTGATCGACATTCTCTAAAAACCAAAGATGCAACAACAAACAAAGTTTAGTGATTCTAAACCAGTTAGTACCATAGATACTTAAATAAAGCCATAAAATGTCGAAAGTAGGTCACAGTGACCTACTTTTTTGACATCATTCTCCGAAAACCCAAGATGCATCAACTTACAAAATTTGATGATTCTAAGCCAATAGGTACCATAGATACTTAAATAAAGCCATAAAATGTCAAAAGTAGGTCACCGTGACCTACTTTTTGGTCATCACTCTCTGAAAACCCAAGACGCATCAACTCACAAAGTTTGATGATTCTAAGCCAATAAATACCTAAGATACTAAAATATAGCCATAAAAAGTCGAAAGTAGGTCACAGTGACCTACTTTTTGGACATCATTCTCCGAAAACCAAAGATGCATCAACTTACAAAGTTTGATGATTCTAAGCCAATAAGTACCATAATTACTTAAATAAAACCATAAAATGTCAAAAGTAGGTCACCATGACCTACTTTTTGTTTGTTACTCTCCGAAAACCCAAGATGCATCAACTCACAAAGTTTGATGATTCTAAGCCAATAAATATCTAAGATACTAAAATATAGCCATAAAATGTTGAAACTAGGTCATCGTGACCTATATTTTGGTCGACATTTTTCAAAGTCACAAGATGCATCTGCTGACCAAGTTTGATGATCCTAGGTCTGAAGGTAATCAAAATATGCCTTTTAAACAATTCGAAAACAAATGACTGCAAAATTCAAAAAGTAGGTCACAGTGACCTACTTTTTCATAAATATCTTTTAAGGTCCCAAGATGCATCAATTAACAAGATTTGATGATTCTAAACCTCTCAGTGTCTGAAATAATTGGATTAAATGTTTTAAGAAGAATTAGTCATAAAGTTCAAAAAGTAGGTCACGGTGACCTACTTTTAAGCTGACGTTGTTCAATGACCCAAGATGCATCAACTGACAAAGATTGACGATCATAGGCCTTAAAGTGCCCGAAATATGCTTTCAAATCAATTTAAAAACAAATGCCCATAAAATTTAAAAAGTAGGTCACCGTGACCTACTTTTGAGTTAGCATGATGTGAAGTCCTGAGATGCATCAACTTATAAGATTTGATGATCCTAGTCCTAATAGTAAGCAAAATATAAACGTTTTTATTATTTGTAAATTTAGGTCAACTTTGAAGTGACCTTGAGACCACGCCCTTTGCCCGAGGGTCATGCCTTGAACAATTTTTTATCTTCAACATATCCTGATCCTTGTATGTAAGTTTGGTGAAAATCTGCCTGGTGGTTCTGGAGAAGAAGATTTTTTAGCAACCAGTACTTTTGGTTTTGTTTTCCTGATTATCTCCCCTTGTTTAAGGGTCCCAACCCTTATTTTAGTATAAAGGGTAGCCCTTGGGCCAAGGATACCCTGTGACAAATTTGACACTGATTGGCCAAGGGGTTCTTGAGTTATGGCCCATATTCTAAAAAGTTAACGCACACCGCACACCGCACAAATGGCCATAGCATTAGCTCTTTGAGCCTTTGGCTCAGAAGAGCTAAAAATAAATTCCTCATTCTGTGTAAATGCATATTTTTTGTTTTCAAAGCAAAACTGTTATGATATCTTAAGAAATTATTGTAAGATTTCCAGTGTATAATCTTACTTAAAAAGGTGTAAGAGGGAAGGGTGACTCTAAAAAATGACTGACTAAAAATAAGATATTGAATACTAAAAAAAATATTTACAATATAATGCTTACTGTGGTCATTTGAGTTAACACTATTTGAAATACAGGCACTTGATTTGAAAGTTTTAAAAGTCCCTTTGATTTTACAATGTACGTGAATCTGTCACAGAAAGGTCAATAATCCTATTGCAAAATTATGAGTACTACAGGAAATTTTAAGATCGTGACCTACATATTGAATGGAAAAGAAACCATACCCCTTCCTCTCCCCCCTTCATAGAGAAAAAAAGGAACAAGATGATATACACTCGTGAGCTGGAGTAAATGAAAAAAGAAAACAATTATATACTTTTATACTTTGTTTGGAAAAATGTTCAACAATTGTATTGATCGAATGATGTAGAATAAATGTAAAGATTGTATACATAATAAACAATCTATATGAATTATTCATGTATATATATTTAAGTATATTAAAAAGAACATTTGCAGGATAGTGACATTTAACATGTCAGTCTGGAGAAATATATTACAGTGAAATAGATGTAGGTCAGAATTATATGTATTTTGGCAACAATAAACGTCTTGGTATATTAACCTCTGGGCCTACCAAGAGAAGCGAATAAACACACACTGTACATACGTTTTTGTATAGTTTTGCAAAACGCGCAAAAAATGTTACTTATTTTCCCGCAAAATATAGTTATAATTTATACGTTTGATTTGTCGGGTTAGAGTTTAATTAAACCTATGTGTATATCACTTGTCTTACCAATTTCCATCTTCAGAATAATCCTCTCTCACCGTCCCCCACTGGCGCTCCGAAAGGTAGGGCCCCCATCTTTTCCAGTTTTTTGCCCTCGTTCTATCCTCCCTCAGTCTCTGTCTCTCTGGGGTCGTCATGAGGCTACCGCGCTTTCACTTAACATAAGAGCACGCGGTGATAGTGTTTATATTTACTACAGCACGCATCAGTGAATCCACACTCCAACATTTCACAGGAGGCTGATCCAAGTAAAGAATCTAGGGGTGTACAGGATCGATTTCATTGACGGGCAAACGGACAAAAATGTCCATAGACCCCTAATCATTTTGCGGGAAAATCCAACAATCAAATTAAACATTTTCGACTTCTCTACCTACATTGCAAGCAATGATTGTCAGTGTCAGATTAATTCTTAAATATTATAATTACATGTAGATAAATTGGGAAACGTAATGTTAATTATTAATTAATTACATGAAATGAACTTTTTGAAGAAATAATGAATGAAAATTGATTAAAAGCAAATTGATTCACGAAAAAGCAACTTAAAAAAAAAAATCCTTTCATCAGTATCTGTCCGTGAATACTTATAAAAGCAGGGGCGTAGCAACCGGGGGGGGGGGGGGCCCCCCCCCCCACTTTTTTTCCCAACCTTACTTATACTATAGGAAATGTTAATTGAAAGCCTTGTTGCCCCCCCCCCCCCCTCTTTTAGTGATGTACCGAAAATATAGTAATAGAGTTGGTAATGAAAGTGAAAAAAAAGTATTTGTCACAATGAGAAAAAGTTTACCTACCCACCCCCCCACCCCCCCCAATAGAAATAGGATTTTCGACTTTGGGCAACTTTCTCCCCCCCCCCCCCCTTTTTTTTGGCTTGTCCACTTTTTCTGGTAATTATATTTTTTTTTCCCTGGCTGCCCCCCCCCCCCCCCCCCCCCCCCCCACTTTCAAAAACGATGCTACGCCACTGAAAAGTACTTTTAACGTTTATTTTTAATGTTAATGAACATGTTTATCTTTCTTAAAGTATACACTTAATGCTAAGAGATGGGTACCCCAAAGCGTAACAGACAGACGGAGACGGACGGACGGACATACCGATTACTATACACCCTCCCGCTTTTCAATATTGGCTGGTATAATGAAAATACAAGAGACTTGATTTCAAACAATATGTTTACCGCAGACAAAATTAATATTTTTTTCTTCACTTAAAAGTATCCACTGGGATTGTCTTACACAAGACTTGGTATACATGACTTCTAGTTGCATTCCATCTAAATCTACAAAATCTACAAAAACGGGACACCTTGGTCCTCGACATTTCATCTGCCGATATATCAATTTCGTTATACTAGCATTAAAATTAATTATAACATCCTTTTTGGATGCAAATGACAGAATCATAATATATATATTATACCAATTTTTATGTTATTAGGCATAGGATTAATTATTTTAACAATCTTTTAATGAAGCGCATGGACATTAAAATTTATGTAACGCTGGGAAATCAGAAAATGACGACAATCGCCGTATATCTCGATATACGATAAAAACGTCTAAAATATATTTTAAGTATGATATTGTCATAATTTATATATTTTCCTTGCCATTGAAATATAACACTTGATATCTTCAAGCAAAACCATCTCTGCACAACCACACAAATGAATTTTTCAATACTCTGTTTAAAAGAAACACCAGTATCGTGCGCGACGTCAACGCGTAATTTTCGCGAATATACGCGAAACTTTCGCGTTATATCGCGAAGTTATATTATGTATATAGTAATGTTACTTAGAGACCTTTGATCTTGAATGACAAACATGAAACATGAAGGCAGACGGGAACTTCTGTGAATTTATGAATTACTTTTTCTCAGAAGATGTAGAGGAGAAATGACGCGAGAATAGGATAGATATGAGATAAGTCTTATAGATTTTTGCATTTTATTTAAAATCCCTAATAATTAATAAAATTAATATTCCTTCAAAGATTTTCTTGTTTTCACTGTTGAATTCAAGAAATTTTTAAGATTGATTTTTTTAGAGTTTGTACACTTTGCAACATCTTTCAGAAAGGTATATCACTTTTGTCTTCATGACACATGCATGTAGCATTAAGGATGGTGTGGGGGGGGGGGGCATTTTTTCTGAAGGAAATGTTCATTGAAAGTCAGGTTGGCCCTCCCAATTTCGGTTGCAGTATTATAAAATAAGGGAAATTTAAGGGTAATGTAGTTTGAGTACAAAAAAAAAATGGTACTAAAAGAAGTTGGACACCCCCTGCCCTAAAATAGGATTTTTGAGATTGGAGATTTTTCCTTTTTTTCTTGCTAAGTTTTTTTCAGGTAAGTTGAGATTTTTTTCATAGGGAACCACAATTCTCTAAATTTGCTTCCTTAATTCAAAAGTGTACTTGTGAAAAAAGATACTAGTAATATGCAAGCACCACCCTTCACTTCTTACTAAAATCTCAAAAATTAAGCATCTTTTCATAGGTGTGTAACTGCACCATAGTTCTGTCTTGCACCAAGATGTTAGAGTTACTACAGTAAAACTTGTCTCGATGGGGCATTACACCAAGATTGTTAGAGTAACTATGGTAAAACATGCCTCATTGGGGCATTACACCAAGAAGTTATAGTTACTACAGTAAAACTTGTCTCAATGGGGCATTACACCTAGAAAGTAGAGTTACTACGGTAAAACTTGTCTCAATGGGGCATTACACCAAGAAGTTAGAGTTGCTACAATAAAACTTGTCTCAATGGGGCATTACACCAAGAAGTTAAAGTTACTACAATAAAACTTGTCTCAATGGGGCATTACACCAAGATGTTAACAGATACTACAATAAAACTTGTCTCAATGGGGCATTACACCAAGATTGTTAGAGTTACTACAGTAAAACTTGTCTCAATGGGGCATTACACCAAGAAGTTTGAGTTACTATAGTAAAACTTGTCTCAATGGGGCATTACACCAAGAAGTTTGAGTTACTACAGTAAAACATGTCTCATTGGGGCATTACACCAAGAAGTTAGAGTTACTACAGTAAAACTTGTCTCATTGGGGCATTACACCTAGAAAGTAGAGTTACTACAGTAAAACATGTCTCATTGGGGCATTACACCAAGAAGTCTGAGTTACTACAGTAAAACATGTCTCATTGGGACATTACACCAAGAAGTCTGAGTTACTACAGTAAAACTTGTCTCATTGGGGCATTACACCAAGAAGTCTGAGTTACTACAGTAAAACTTGTCTCATTGGGGCATTACACCAAGAAGTTAGAGTTACTACAGTAAAACTTGTCTCATTGGGGCATTACACCAAGAAGTTAGAGTTACTACAGTAAAACATGTCTCATTGGGGCATTACACCAAGAAGTTTGAGTTACTACAGTAAAACATGTCTCATTGGGACATTACACCAAGAAGTCTGAGTTACTACAGTAAAACTTGTCTCATTGGGACATTACACCAAGAAGTCTGAGTTACTACAGTAAAACTTGTCTCATTGGGGCATTACACCAAGAAGTCTGAGTTACTACAGTAAAACTTGTCTCATTGGGGCATTACACCAAGAAGTCTGAGTTACTACAGTAAAACTTGTCTCATTGGGGCATTACACCAAGAAGTTAGAGTTACTACAGTAAAACTTGTCTCATTGGGGCATTACACCAAGAAGTTAGAGTTACTACAGTAAAACATGTCTCATTGGGGCATTACACCAAGAAGTTTGAGTTACTACAGTAAAACTTGTCTCATTGGGGCATTACACCAAGAAGTCTGAGTTACTACAGTAAAACATGTCTCATTGGGACATTACACCAAGAAGTCTGAGTTACTACAGTAAAACTTGTCTCATTGGGGCATTACACCAAGAAGTCTGAGTTACTACAGTAAAACTTGTCTCATTGGGGCATTACACCAAGAAGTTAGAGTTACTACAGTAAAACTTGTCTCATTGGGGCATTACACCAAGAAGTTAGAGTTACTACAGTAAAACATGTCTCATTGGGGCATTACACCAAGAAGTCTGAGTTACTACAGTAAAACATGTCTCATTGGGGCATTACACCAAGAAGTTTGAGTTACTACAGTAAAACTTGTCTCATTGGGGCATTACACCAAGAAGTCTGAGTTACTACAGTAAAACTTGTCTCATTGGGGCATTACACCAAGAAGTTAAAGTTACTACAGTAAAACTTGTCTCATTGGGGCATTACACCAAGAAGTCTGAGTTACTACAGTAAAACTTGTCTCATTGGGGCATTACGTACACCAAGAAGTTAAAGTTACTACAGTAAAACTTGTCTCATTGGGACACCAGGCACTTGTTCAGATTAAATTGATCAGATTTAGACAACATTCTAAACAATGAAATTACTGAAACTGAAAGTTAACATTGTATTAGAGGAGATTTCGGAATATACAACATCCAGATCAGACAAGTTTCACTGTGATTTTCAGCTTGATCTTGATGAATGTGTAACTACTGGAGAATTAGAACTTATCATTTCTTCTGTTCTATTTGTGCTTTTACAGAGCACTAATGTGATGCACTAAAACCTATTTTTTTAATCCCTTTTAAGCTTTTATTTATTTCCTCTTTACTGTCTGAATGGCACATGTAGGTTTACTATTGATAAGAGTATCATTACTTATTGGCACTTTTCAATCAACCAATCAAGAGAGAGAGAGAGTCTCCGACCAATTACAGTAAAACAGCTCATAATGAAGTGTGATTTTGCTTGAAGTCACAAAGAAAGCAATAACTCATTATAAGCATGTTCAGTATAACCGTGTTTTACTGTTTTAAGTTAGGGAGAAGTAAACTACATGTACATATGTGTTGCCTTTTCCTTCATTAAAACTTGTACTAAACAAACCTAGAAGACAGTTTACCTCATTCTAACTTTTATTATACTCCCTAGTTTGTCCAATAATACAGACAAATTACTCTTCTTAAGTAAAAATTGGCTTGACAGAGTTAATTATCAACACCAGCAGATTACAAATGAACTGCTCAAATGTCAGGCAAAAAGTACATTATAAGTGAAGAAAAACAAACAGTTAATGAGAATTCTAGCACATCTGTAAGTCTATCATAAGAGTCATTTATTACAGAATAATTGTCCTTATTACAAAAGAGAAAAAAAGATGATTTACTTTCATGATCAAAAATTAAACACACCAAAATGATAAAACAAGAGGTACAAAGGTCAT